TGTTCTTTTGCTCAATGTACTTGTAGAATTTCTTTGGATTATCCTTAGCCTTGACAAATAAGGTTATCTCATATCCTCTCTTTGCCTTCCTGATCTCCCTGTTAAAGAATGCCCCTACACTCTTTATACTGTTCAAGAGATTCATTTGAACCCAGTTGTCCAAATCTAATATACGATTCTTTTTTATTCTTGACTAGAACCTCGGTATCTTTATTGTTATCATTAATTGTTCTCTAATCCTACCAACCGTACCTTTCACTCTACCAGGAATATAATGACTCTGAGCTCTCATTATCACACTTTTGCCAAGAAACGCCACCCACAAACAAAATGCTGAAAAATTCAGCAGCTCTGGCATTTTCCACGGACCACAGACAATAAGATATAGGGGCAGTTCTAAAGAGTCACTCCATTGCTCTGTGGAGAGAAACAGAGATAATGTTTCAAGTCGAGCATGATTCTTCAGAATAGTTCTGACGAACTATACTGGACTCAAACCAGAATATTAAGTGCTTCTCTCTCCACAGATGCTGCCAGACCAGCTGAGTTTATCCAGCATTCTCTGTTTACTATAAACTCTTTACATTTGAATCTTCCCTTTAGTCTGAAGTCATCAACCTGAAAATGTAACTATTTCTCTTCAAAGATGTTGCCTGATCTCCTGAGCATTTCCAGCACCGTTTTTCAGAATTCCATCATCCATATAACTTTGTTTTTATAGAAGACAAATCATTCGATAAAATATTTAAAGCACATGACTTATTTTCAGAAGTCATTTTACTCGAGACAAATACATCGTCATGAGTACAAAAATGTAACTAGCAGCTGATCTGTTTAGCCTAAAATGTAACAAAACAGTGGTAGCTATCTATTTTACAGAGGAATGGTACAAATCTTAATTTCCACACAAGTGTAGAGATTAAAATACAACAAAACCATTAAATAATGGATGCTAAGTTATGAGAACAACATTCAGGTAGTCATGGTAAAGAAAATATTGTGATTACTCTGTTTTATAATATCTTTGACTTGGCTTTAAAGAGAACATTTTGCTAATTTATATCATGAAAAATACAAAATTAAAGCAGGAAAAGAAGATAGAAATGCACATGTACCAGATCAAGAACATAAAATAAAATGTGTCCTAAAGAAGGATCTAAGGGTCTACTCTACTTTCTCTCCAGATGCTGAGTTTCTTCAGCAATTTCTGCTTGTTATAAAAAATATACTTTTTTTCTTCGGTTAATAAAGATTCAAATTTGCTAAGAATATATCTGTTCTTTAAACCATATTTTTCAACAGACTAAAGCTGGGATTTCAATGGGATGAGAATTATTGTAAACTCTCCAAGTACATGTTCTAACCCTGCCTTAAAGCTGCCACCAAGAATTCAGGGAATATTTCTACAAGCAGCAACAATAACATATTCAAAAAAGGGTCACATTTATCTATTTCAGTCTTTCAACTGCAGTACTTCAGCTGGAATGAGTTTCACTACCAGACAAACCTGTAACATACCTCCATTTTCATGACATGTTTCAAATTAATGATTACAGTTTTACACAGCTAAGAAATTACTTTTGCAGCTATACCTCTCGTGCATAGTTCATTATTTTCCCCATTCTTCCTTGAAGGTACTGGATCATATTGGTCGACAGCTCAATGAATGCCACGCACCATCTGATGTTTTGTCTAAATAGGCATTCGCATATGAGCGCTACACCAAAACCAGATCCTATTTTCACTACATATTCAAATACTATCATTAAAGTACTGAATCTCATTGTACCTCAAGTCAGGCACCTCAGCAGAAAACCAGGAATTGAAACTATCGTCTTTCTAGACTATGCAGTGGTTTTAGATGCAGTAATGCATTTACTACTTCTGCCACCGGCGACAAGAGTTATTGAATCAAAAGTAACTATTTCACAAATAATGTACTTCATACTAGGTATGAAGTCTCCAAATTGCATATCCAGTGACCAGCTGAATGCGAGTAGCTGACAGGTTTAAAACAAAGATACAGCCATCTGCTAAATGTATGAGAATTACATCACAATCAACATGCACTGCAGGACTGTGTCATCCGAGTTCACAATGGTAATACTCCAAAGCCAGAATAAAGGCCAACCAGAAACAGCATTCAAATTACCTTGATAAATGCCACATGTGCTGTACAAATGCAAGTTATGATGAGTAGAAATGGCTTATGGAATAAGAATTCCCTGTGCAGTTGGTGCCACTCATTCAATGAGGTAAAGCACCAGTACCAGATTGTTTATGCATTGAGAAAACTCTGGAGAAATCGATATAATACCCTTCTCCCCACACCCCCAAAACAAACAGATTTACCTGGTTATACAAGGTGCTACTTTTAAGTAGACACTGTAAACACAGTGAGAAATGAAATGAACATCAAACTCAACAGATTATCCAAACTACACACTAACTGCAACCAAAGTGTATGTATTCAACCAAAAAAATTCGCTACCAAGGACAGCAACATGGTTGAAAACCAAACTGTGAAATCAAAATGAACACGCATAAAAGTAGCAATTTCACTAGGCCCACAAGCAAAACAATTTGAAAAGTGTCAGGATACAGTCTGTCATGGAGGTACCGATCGGTAGACTATTTAGAGAAAGCACGGGAAAACAAACAAACCAGTGAATAGATTTCGGGGGGGGGGGGGGGGGGTGGGTGGCAGAAAGAGAAGGGCAGCGGGAGGTTAAAAGGTAAAATGCCCTTAAAGATAAAATGGAACTGGTCACTCCATCTTAGGAGTGGGCGCTTAGTCTTACCAACATTTTAACGAATTTCTAGAATGTTCTCTTTCGTATATTGCTAACAACGCAGCAAGGTATTTTAAATTGGAAATCTATTATGGAGGAAATAAACAACTTGTTGCATTTCAATGAAGGAAAAACCAAACTTATCCTTCAAAATAAACTGAGAACATTCGTAGTCTAGCTGATGGTTGGTTGACACATCGAGAGACCCACAAAAATAGCAAGAGAGAATTTTGATCGGAGCTACAGAACATGCCTCACACAAAATGTATATTCTACGTTTAAAACACATTGAACACCAACTCAAGTCAGGGACTTGGTTTCTCACTTGCAACTTCAGACATACAAAAGAGGTCATCTTATTTGGATTTTAAACAAAAACTTCTCCCAGAATCACAGCAAACATTCGTTGTGAATTAAGCCTTTCAACTCCCCTCCCTCCCGGAGAAACAACTTTAAACAATAGGTTCGCCGAACAAAAACAACAACAATGGGGAAAAAGGGAGGCGGGGGGGGAAAGAGAAGATATCGGACAGAGCAGGATGAATGATTGTGTTTGTTCAATTTTACTTGAAATCGAATGATTCTCTGAATTTCGTTTCCCATTTGGGTTGCAGAACGTTAACGAACATGCTGTTTTCTTTGTAAGACCTATATGCCACAAATCGAATTTAAGATCGTCTAAGCAAGTTTAATTTGTTACACTTGTGTTTTATCAACAGTGACGAAATAGACCGAAATACTCTGCGCCTTGCCGATGAATCAAGCAATTTGCGAAACGCAGCTAAGCTGTTATTGACTCCGTTTTGTTAAAATGTACATTTTTAAAGTTATTGGATATATATTGTTCATCGGATGCTTTTCTACTAAAAATTGTAGTTTAAAAGGATAATCTGCTAACTTTGTTAGCAGCATGTGGCTCTTCTTTCTCCTAACAATACCATGGCTATGATGGATGTGTGGCAGAGCAGATCATGAAGAACAGCAGCACCTTATCGGAAGACACGCTCCTTTACGAAAGAAACACACCATGTCCTCCCCCTTTCAAGCCCAAGAGATACCAACTTTATTAAACTTTTTAAAACTAAGACACACGTTTTATACAAGAAAAGGTAGACAACGATGATTAAAGTCCACACCAGTCTATCGGTGAGTGCAATCGAGCGCTTTTAGAACCACAATAGAATTGAGCCAGCAGCTGGGAGGCGAGATTGACATCCTGCATCCACATGATTACTAACTTTGAATTCTTTGAAATGACAGGGGCTTCGAGAGGCAACTTAATCATTTACAGGAAAGAAAAAAGTCTCATAACTCATTGAAGGGAAAAACAGAATTACCTCAATTTCGAAGTCTGGGAGCCCAAATGCTGTCCTGAATAAAGAGCAAAAGTGTGCGATGGCGGGTACTTCCCACCAAGAACGAATTTCTTCTACCGAAACGGTCGAAGATGTACATTCCTCGGACATTTTAAATGGCATCAAATAAACCCCTGTCCTCACATGAGATAGTTTTCCTCGAACTTGGCTTCCTTGTGTTAATTTCCACCCCCCACCCTCCTTATCTTCCTTCCCCCCTCCCCACCCTCCCCTCCACCAGACCCCCTCTGCTTCCAGTCTCCTAGTGCCGGTTGGTGTAAGGAATGTGCTGGGTGTTAAGTGTGTGCGCTGCCTGCCATTGCCGGTCTGCTCCTCTCCTCTCCCTCTCTCCTTCCCTCCCTCCCTCTCCTTTTCCCTCTCTCAGTGCAGGCGTGCGTGTGTAATCCTGGAACAATCTCGCAGCCCCATTCTCAGCGAGGAACAGATGGCCGGACAACAACAGGGGAGTGCTCCAATCCTTCAACACACCGGAGGGAGAACAGGACGCACTGAGCTGCTCAACGCCCGGCGCATCGCTTCACCAAAACCGCCGACAGCCCTCCACCGCTGCCGTGCACAATGGCCACCGCCGGGCCGGGGCCGAGGCAACGGGAGGATTGGCGGCTTGTTGAGCAGTAGCTGCCGGGTTTGGACCTCGGACACCCCCGTGAGAAAGTGGAAAGGCTCGCCACCACCGACAGGAAGTGACGCAGAGGTCTCCTGGGTACCAGCCAATAGGCTGAGCCGCGCTGTCCTCTGGGGTAGGGGGTGGGGCGAAGTGCCTACATATATTGTGCACACCCCGGGGGTTTTAACGTCGAGTTGTTTAATGAGGCTGGTCAGTGGGTTTTGGGAAGGGGATGGTATGGCGGGGTGGGGAAAAAAAAAAATCCATTGAATAACCGAGCTATTCTTTAGTTTTCTTCCTCGCTTTATTAAGTTCCTGCACTTTAGAATTGGTGTCGAGAACCTTATCGTTTGTTGTTTAGTTGGAGGTTGCAACTAGTGGTGGAGTGCGCGAGCTTTTCTGTTGGATCACCCAATGTTCCATTCCCAGAATCTCCGCGTTCCAAACGGTTGTTGTCCTGGAGCCCGCGCTCGGGCTAAAACCCTACTTATTCCCCTAAGACATCCCTAACCCCTCCCCCTTCCCTGGGGAAAGAGCGAGTGACACCGTGCACCGCCCATCCATTTCAACACTGCAGCCTGCCAAAATATCCAGTCACTTTACTTCCTCGGTGTTTGATTGCGTTTAATGCATTCAGCTTCTTATCCTTGCCGCCGTTCGAAAAAGTTATCACTCCCGAATGATCAGCTGAGATGTGACTGGTTTAAAAAAAAAGTCACCCTTCTGTCATAGGCATCGGGACACAGAAGTGACCTTTTCTTTTTACATGGGTGCACGCGTTTCCTGTATCAAGTAACGGTCCAGTTACTTCAGCTGTCCTCTTAAAGGGAGGTACAAGCCCTTTGCAGAAGCGAAAGTTGAGTTTATAATTGATTGCACGTTTCGTGTTCTCGTCAGTTCTCACTAACGTTTGAATATTGTACACAACCGTGTGGCCTTTTGAAAATGAAGGCACCACGTTTCAGAAAAGAGGCAGCTGTGTTTTCCTTTTTCTTTTGTTTGTTTGCCGTGTGTCAAACGTTTCCAACTCCGGCCGACCGAGATAGTTTGATAAAACTGGAACAGTTCCAATTTACAGGCGGTAATCTCCTCTCGACTGAAAAAGAACTGCAGGTTAATTATATACTTAAGAGAATCAAAGGAAAGGAGATAATGGAAGGAATGAAAACTGGTAAATTTGCCCCAGCCATGCACTTTTTCAGAGCAAAAGAATTAATTGAACAAAGTCCAGTTTTTAAAATTATACAGATGATGCCCAAAGGTAAGCAATGATATGAGGTTTATTAATCGACTGTGTAATGGGTTGCGGATATTTTAGAAAACTGGCTGTTTTTTTTTAACTTTCAGATGAAGGTAAAATGACCACTTTATTCAAAATGACATGCGTTTTGGTGAGTCCATACAGTGTAGACCTGGAGGAATACAGCCGGTCACAGTATCGGACGAATGTCGACGTTTCGGTTCGGGACCCTGCATCCAGGATTGGGGAGGGGAGCTGTGTAATAAATACAGAGGAGGGGTGGAGCTGGGGAAGGTAGGTGGGATGGTGATATGTGAATGCAGGTAGGGGCTGGTGAGGATTGGTCAATTAGGTGGGTGGGGCAGATAGACGGGAGAGAAGATGGGCCGGTTGCCTCAGGTCTAGGAGGCAGGCATGAGAGGGGAGGAGGGTTGGACTTGGATTGGGGCCCCGGGGTGAGGAGAGATGGAACTGGTGAATTCTGTGTTCAGGCCATTGGAGGCGGAATATGTGTTGCTCCTCCAGTCTGCATGTGGAATCATTGGGACACTGGAGGAGGCCCAGAATGGATATGTCACTGGGAAGTTAAAATGGTTGGCAAACAGAAGAGTGTTGCTGGTTATAGTGTACAGAGTGCAGATGCACCGTGAATCGGTCACCTAGTCTGTGCTTAGTCTCACTGATGTAGAGGAGGCCACATTGGGAGCAACGGATACAGTGTTGGAGGTTGGAGGATGCTGCAGGTGAACCCCTGTCGAATATGGAAAGTTTGTTTTGGGCCTTGGATAGAGGTGAGAGAAGAGTTGTAGAGGCAGGTGTAGCACCTCCGGTGGTTGCAGGGAAAGGTGCTGAGTGTGGAGTGGACGAGGAAGTCACGGGGTGAGCGGCCCCTACAAAAGGTCGATGGGGTGGAGAGGGAAATATCTCTTTGGTGGTGGCAGAGAATGATGTGCTGGATGCAGAGGTTGGTAGGATGGTATATGAGGACCAGGGGACTCTGTCTTTATTTTTGTTGAGGAGAGGGGATTTGAGAGCAGAAGTATGGGAAATGCAAGAGATACAGTTGAGGCAGTTTGGATCAATGGAGGGGGTAAGTTATGTCTGGGAGTAGAATGCTCCATCTTGGGAGCAGATGATGTGGAGGTGGAGGAATAAGGAGTAAGAGATCGCATTCTTGTAGGAGGGTGGGTAAGAGGAGGTGTAGTCAAGATAACTATGGGAGTCGGTGGGTTTGAAATAGATGTTGGTGCTGAGACAGTTACTGGAGATGGAGAGGTCCAGGAAGGGGGGGGGAGAGTATCGGAGATGGTCCAGGTGAATTTGAGGTTGGGGTGAAAGGTGTTGGTAAAGTTGATGAATTGGTGACCAATTTGCAAAGCATCTGCGCTCTGTACACTATAATCAGCAACACCATCTGGTTGCCAACCATTTTAACTCTCCCTCTCACTCCCTGGGTGGCATGTCCATCCTGGGCCTCCTCCAGTGCATAATGACGCCACAAGCAAACTGGAGGAACAACTCGTATTTCGCCTGGGGAGCTCACAGCCCGACGGCCTGAATATAGAATTCACCAGTTTCAAAATCTCCCCCGCCCTGGCTTCATTCCAAGTCCAACCCTCCCTCCCATCCCCGCCTCCTTAATCTGACACAACCTGTTCATCTTCTTTCCCACCTTCCACCCTACTCTTCCAACTGACCAATCTCCACAGCCCCTACCTGCATTCACCTGTCACCATCCCACCTACCTTCCTTCCGACCCAACTCCCCGTTTATTTCTGAGCTCTCTTTCCCCCTCCCCAGCCCTGATGAAGGGTGTAAACCTGAAATGTCAACATTCCTGCACCTCTGATGCTGCCTGATCTCCTGTGTTGCTCCAGCTCCACACTGTATTGACTCTGACTCCAGCATCTACAGTTCTTGTTACCTCCGTGCTTTGGTGAGTGGTTGGATGAAATGATGTGTGACTGTTGGTGGGGATTTCACGAATCTGGAGGTGTACTGCATTGATCAAGGGTCTGGGGAGGAGGTACTTATCAAAGCACAAACTAAGAAAAACTATGAATGCAAGACAAATTGTAAACCATCACTGAGGGAATGTAACAGCTTTTTATATATTATTGGTGAATCTCCCATGGTGTGAAGTGAGAGGATGTCTTAAGTATTCCGTGTAAAATGAGATGTCGGTGTATTTCGTTTTAAGAAATAAAAGATAAGAATAAAAGGTAATGCTCTGCATTTTTGACAGGCCAGTTTGGTGAGGGTTCAGAAGGTTGCAGATGACTCTGATTTTGTTCCTTTAAAGGTTTGTATATATTATGAAATTGATGAAAATGAGTTGGAATGTTATTTCATGCCTGTAGAACCAAGAAGTGAGCTTTGAAATATAGGAACTTTGCACTTTGTATCAAACTTGGATCTGTTTACTTTTCTGTGATGTAACCTGCATTCTAGAAATAAAAGCAAGCTCAAGAAACCAGGGTTGAGAGGAATCAATTATGCAAAGAATAACCAAACAACATGTGCTCGCGTAAATTCATTTATGACTCGTTCCTGAATTCTTCTATGTAAATAGTATGATAGTGCTATGTGCAAAACTTTTAATCAACTCTTATTGCTTTCCAATGACACTGCAAATGAAAATTCAAGATTTGTGTCTGGGTGCACTTAGCTATTTCTAAATCCAGCAGGTCTGTGGAGATAAAACAAGAGTTAACCTTTCGAGTCCATGTGAAATCCTTCTGTTTTCTCTCCACGGATGCCTGACCTGCTGAGTTTCTCCTGCAATTTCTATCTTTGTCTGTTTCAGATCCCCAGATCTTTGTTTTATTTCTAAATCTGTTGGGGATCATTTTGTTAATGTTTATCCAAACTTTAAGGATAGCTCCTTTTTAAGATTTCATGAAGTAATTTGCCGAGTAGAATTAAATTGTGTCAGTCGGGTGTTCCCACCAAATGAGATTTATTACTTCCGTTTCTAATTTGAGGGAGTCTTCCGTGCATGTTTATTTGTACATGTTGCACAAATATTGCGAGAGTAATTGAGCAAGCACTGGACTCAAACTTCCAAGGTTCGATAACTTTGCGTTGCATATATATTGAGTTATTGCCCAGTGTGTCAGATGCCTTCATTGAATAGATAGATTTTATTGTGGTTTAGCCCATCATTTGCCAAGTATTAATATTAGTAAAGTATCTTTTAAAACAGGAAAAGGTGACCACAGAATTGCTGCAATTGGACACACAATTTGTTTGGGGAATATAGAACCATCCTGAAAACGCTTGCAGATTGTTTTGCTTTATTTAGGTAGTGGGGACTGCCTTAATGTCTAATAATTTAACATTTGACTTTGCGTAAGACCATTTTGTCACAGTGAGACAAAGGCCTCGTGGTATTACCGCTGGACCGTTAATCCAGAGACCCAGATAATGTCCTGGGGACCCAGGTTTGAATCCCGTGACGGCAGATGGTGGAATTTGAATTCAATAAATATCTGGAATTAAGAGTCTAATGATGACCATTAATTCATTGTCGATTGTTGGAAAAACCGATCTGGTTCACTAATGTCCTTTATGGAAGGAAACTGCCATCCTTACCTGGTCTGGCCTACATGTGACTCTGGGCCCACAACAATGTGGTTGGCTCTCAACTGCCCTTAATTGCCCTCTGGGCAATAAATGTTGCCTAGCCAGCAACGCCCTCATCCCGTGAATGAATAATAAAAAAAATCAGAACCGGCATATAACAGAAAATTATACCTGGCTTGGAATTCATCTCAATATGATTAATATACCGAAGTAATCAATATCATAGGTGTCCAACCTCTTTCTCTCTGGCTATTTAATTGATTGCTGTGGAGTACTGTTGGCTACATGCTTTTTTTTTTGGATTTAGTCAGGAGCAAATGGAATTTGCTTTGGCTTAGATTATATAATGTTATCTTTGGAGTTGCATCTTTGATCTACTCTTGTTATTGGGCTTATCAGCACCTGCCCACGTTTAGATCATCAAATTCAGATCTTTGACCCATGTGAGTAAGAAAATAAAAACCAACAATTAATGTATTGTTTTGAATGTATCAATGTCCACATCTGTTTTAATGAATACCCTCGCTGCCTAATATTTAACCAAGACAGAAAGTAAACTGTCTTTCGAAGTAGAAAGAGAAAGAAACCAGATTGGATATAACATTTTTTTCACTTTGTTTCTTGTATTTAATATCTCTGGGGTACTTACTGTCAAATCAAAGTGTCATGTTTACGTACACTCTGGTGCAGCAATAGTATTTTGAGCCAGAAGGTCTGGGCTCAAGTCTCACTTGTTCCAGAGATGTGCAATAACATACACACAGGTTGATTAGAAAGTAGTTTTTGTTTTGCACTGATTCTGGTCATCAGTTTTGTGTCTAGCCTGGCACTGGTTACCTCCTCTCTTATAACCAAGAGTTAAGGAGGCTATAACACTAAGAACAATTATGATGAGAGACAGTAAGAACTGCAGATGCTGGAGTCAGAGTCAATACAGTGTGGAGCTGGAGGAACACAGCAGGTCAGGCAGTATCAGAGGAGCAGAAAAATCAACATTTCTGGTTTATACCCACCCAAAATGTTGACTTTTCTGCTCCTCTGATGCTGCCTACCCGCTGTGTTCCCCCAGCTCCACACTGTTTTAACAATTATGATAACTCATTTGAAAGGTTTCTCTGGGTCTAGCTAAACAAATTCTGACGAATCACTTCTGCATTTGGCAGCACCAAGCCCTTTGCTAGTCAACTTGTGTATTTGCAATTCTAAGCATCCTTCCAACATGTCTAACAACAAGACTTAATTCTTCAGTGATGATGACTGACTGAGCTAGCCTCACTAGCTTTTGGACCATCATTGCCCCGCTGTAGCTATGCATGCTCTTCCATTTGGACTGCACTCTGCTGTCTTCCTGTTTTAGTCATGGATTTGATCAAACTTATGAGTTTACTTGCACCAATGTATGGGGTACCTTGCCTTAGTTTCCCAGCTTTCTCTTC